GTTCAAGTTGCAACAGGGGACGTTTAGATTGGATATCAGGAAAAATTTCTTCACCGAAAGGGTGGTGAAGCGTTGGAAGGGGTTGCTGAGGGAGGTGGTGGAGTCACCATCCCCGGATGTGGTTAAAAACCCGCTGGATGTGGCACTTGAGGAGATGGTTTGGTGTTAGGGTGGTGCAGGGCTGTAGGTTGGACTTGATGATCTTAAGGTCCTTTCCAACCTTGATGATTTTATGAGGAAAAAAGCCCTTACTGGCCTCCAGCACCTTAATTCTGCCAAAATCTGTTCTGCACTAATACCTCCGCACCGAACACCTGAGCCACCCAGCTCAGGTTGGCCAAATGGTTTTCTCCTAGCGAGCCGCTTTGTAAGTTTTCCCTTTTTGTGCAGGAGCAGCACGCTGAGAAATCCAATCTGCCACATGCCTGCACCACAGCTGGTCTCAGCTGGCAAAGCTTTGCTGAAGTTGGGGCCATCTGCCCTCTTCAGACACCCGAGCCCAGAACGCAACGGGGTACTCGGTGTTCACGCCAGGACTTTGAGATAGCTCCTGTGCTGCTCTTCCTACTTTCTCGACGGACAATCTCCAAGCTAAAAACACGTCACGGTCTCTCTCGGGGCTTTCTGATGTCAGCAGAACTAACTGGGAGTATAAATAAGCGGCGATTTCACAGCAATTTAGCCCCATTGAAGTACGTACCAGACAAGCTGAATCCAGACTGGTGCAGGTTCCTCACGGGTGGGGCCTGCTGTTTGGCAGGAGACGTCTTCGCCGAGGACGCTGGTGTGACGGTCTTCGGCGTCACCGATACTTCGCAGACGGGTCCGTCGTAGAGGCCTCGAGGCACACCCCGCAGCTCGGCCAGCTGCAAAACACAGAAGCAGGCAGCCTTCAGGGTCAACACAGCCTTGGAACCAGAGCTAAACAGCTGGCCAGATGTCACTAAGCCAAAAACACGCATTTCCAAGCTTTGTCTTTGCTAAGAGGATTTGAAAGCGCACATCATGCGCACATTCTGTGATGATCATCTCCTCCGTGCTGATCCGCGGGTGGTAGCTGGTCTCAGAAGCAGCACGGATAAAATAAAGCCGACTTCAGGCCGCTGTGGCTCCAGCTGGTTCATACCTGGGGTGTGGGCAGCCTACAGCACACAACCAGTCTGTCCCCTGCACCCCAAGTTCCGCAACCTCAGCCTACCTGCTGTGGTATTAAAGGCTCCCAAAACGTATTACTCGTCCCGAAAAAGCAAAAAGGACGCTGAGACAGAGGCAGGTCTGCAGAGTGAGGAGCCAGGCGAGCTCCGCAGCGCCAGCTTGGGAGCTTTAGATTGGGTTAAATGCAATTATTCCAGTTGAGATGCTGCCCAATTGGATTTATAGGTCAGGCACGTATTTCTGTGGGCGACCAGGACACAAGAGAAACCACGGATCTGCTCTCGGCACTGCTAAATTATTGGAGGTTGTAGGTTTGGTAACTTGCAATTTCTTCAGAAGAGCAACTAAGAAAAGACCATTTGCAAGGCTTGTGAAGGTTACCGAGGGTCAGCAGAACTCACACAGCTCTGGTTTTGTCCAGGAGAGGGCAACACTTTCGCCTCAGAAACCTGACTTCATCATCTTAGCAGTAAATTCTCAGCAACCAAGTTGCAGCTGAGCTCTGTGTCATCTTCCCTGCCCATTTTGACCAACTACAGGCATATCAAAAGGCAGATTCTATTTCGAATGGGTGTATTTTACAAAAAAACCCACTTTCCCAACAATTTTTAGCCTCTTAAAAGTAGAAAATGCTCACTTTTAAACAGTCTGTAGGCTGTGCCTGTGACTCACCAGTCACCAGACAAGAGCATCTGATCGTATCTGACAGAAGAAAGCAGCGTAATGTATCTGTAACAATAAATTAGACTTCTAAACTGTTGCTGAAAGGTTCGATATATAAATGCTATCAATAACTTCTGTGACAGGAGAAGTCTGCCAGGCTATTGACTTACATCCAAGGCGGACAGCTCCTGGACACCTGCTCTGTCTAGGTGCCCCAAGACGGAAAAGAATCAAAAAGCAGAAAAATAAAATTTGCAGAAAATCCAAGCTCTAGTCAAAGCACATTCCCGCAATGACTGAAGAGAGTAGCAAAAACGAAAGAGGAATGAGATACACATGGCTCCCACCCAAGGAACGTTTTCTCTTGCAGAAGCGTGTGTCTGCGAGCCAGGGGACGGCATCTGTTTTCCACCCACTTGAACCCAGGAGGTTCCAGCAAGAGGACAAATGTGCATCCGACCATTTACACTCACCCTGCTCCTTGCTTTGATGCGCTTGTAAACGAAGTCAGGGAACGGTTTCCTGGGGATATATCGTCCCGATCCCTCGGTGACGTGGAGATTCCCGTCCTCCAGCACGATCTTCCCCTGGCTGATAACCACCAGGGGAGAGCCACGGCACTCCATGCCTTCAAAGATATTGTACTCCAGAGACTGCGACAAACAAAAAGGCAACGTGAGGCAAACATTCACCCTAGTGAAGCCCGCTGTGCTTTCATTAGCAATCACCGGTCATGCTAATTGCCAACATTTTGCAGACAGATGGGAGCAAACTCGGCAGCGTTTGCCCAAGTTGTACACGGTGTGGTTTCATACTAAAAATAAAGATCGTTTCAAAAAGCTGTATTTCAAATCAGCGTTTTGGTTGATGGGTCAGGGACCAGGAAAATCTTGTTTTACTCTAATGGGATTGCTTATCCTTAATTAACAGGATTGGAAACATCACACCACAGAAAGAAAAAGACAAGTTTTATAGGAATCCCTGGTAAATGTCTCATCCATGAAGCATCCTGGAATGAGATGCACTACAACCATGTTATTTGCAGACTGTGACTCTAGCGACCATCTCCAAGACAAGTCCGGGTCTTTTATACCCAGTTAATAACGGAGTTTGCTCTTGAAGTGTGTTATAAGTATGGGTAGGCTCGACTGCAGATTTACAATTAGCTAGAATGGCGGTTAAACCGACACTGAGCCGGGTCCAGCCTGAAAAAAGTTGTGGTGGCAAAGGAGGAGGCTTGGTTAGAAGCTCATGAACTAGGCTGGTTCCAAGAACAACACTCTCTCTCCTCCCTAACTCCTAATGTTTCCTTGCCAGCCAGCGGCAAGGGCGGTGTGAATTCTTGGAAAACATCCCTGCGTCGCTCTAGCATTTAAAAAAGTAACAATCATCCGATGCCACATAATCACTGCGTCGCAGCGACTTTCAAAGGGGCTTTTGTTTTATACTTGACCAAACGAGGATGCCCTGACTCTGAAGGCACCCCTCGTATCAGCTTCTCCTTGAACGCAAAGTACCTGCGCGGCGTGAGACCGAGAGGGGTGATGCCAGGTACAACAGGCGACGTGGTGACACGGGAAGAGGTCAGAGCTGGACGCATGAAGATAAAAGCTGCCATTTCTTAGACAGCCCTTCCAGCTCTAAACAAACCACTTGAAAACAAGAGCCCTTCACCCTATTGGCACAATTAAAAGCTGCAGCCTTTGGCAACTGAGCGCTGAGGCCTCTCAGACGGTGCAAGAGTCCCAGGTGGATCTGCAGTCCTGAGCGCGTAAAGAATTTCTGAACGGTCACTCCTGGTTTTCCTTCAACCTAGCCCAGATCTAGGGCAAAACCAGGGAGTCAGTCCTGACTGTACATATCCACAGAATATAGTCGCCACGTTTTCCGTTGGGAAATTTAAAGAGTCCATTTCCCAAAGACAACAGGCATTCACCGGTAATGACTTTCAAATACTCCACCCAGGGAGACAGTCCCAGCTCTCTGAGCCAGCTGAAAGCACAAACCCACGTCCAGACCGCTAAACTTGGCACCCAATAGTGGTATGTCCCTGCGCTCCCTCCTCTAAGTCATCCCTGCCCAGACTGGAGATAGGGGTGCTTCCAGACTCGTCACAAGGTGAATGAAACGACCAGACTTAAGAGTCTGGGTGCCTCTGTCAGAAGTTTAAGCCCAGACAGGATGAATCCAGACTATCTGCGGCCAATTCCGACACAGGCTTAAGTCACAGGGAAGTGAACCAAACCTTTAAAAAAAAGTTTCTTTGTGAATGTGCCCAGGGATCCAAGTGTGGAAGACAATTTTGCTCCTTCAGCTCCAGAGTGAATGAAAGCATTCACGGGAAAAAAAAAAAAAGAACAAGGAGTTTGGTTTTTTCCAGGGAAACATTCCATAGGTTCACCGCCAGCAGTGGAACAAGTCGTCAACAAATGCAAACAGTGGTTGCTTTCTCTGAGACACTGCTCGAATGTCACAGGGAGACTCCAACCAGCCCTTTGCACTGGGACTGTTCTGCACTTCCCTGCAGGGTGGGACAGCTTTTTCTCCGTAGGAGCCAGGTATAAGAGATGGGACACAGCCACGGGCGACGAGCAAACAGGGTCTCTAACAGCGCCACCACAAACCAACAAGGGGCAGGCGTGGTTAGTCTGGGTGCTGCCTTGTGCCAACTAACACTGGGATGATCACCAGTAAAATCATGTCTCCACCCACACGTGCCAGATCAGGACTGGTGCAAATCCACTCAGACTCATTGATCTGGGTCAGCTCTCCAGCAAAAGTGTCCACGAGCTGACAAGCTTGACTGATCCCAGCTGGAAAAGGGGCAGTTCACATTCCCACTGCCAGTGAGCCACAAAGCCATAAACGACACATTGTTGTAAAAAGCCTTTAGATATTTTAGATGTAAAGAGCTTTCTGTGTGCTCAGATCCAAGCACCCAACACTCAGAAAGAGCAGCCAATCTCTTTTCTCTGAGGGGAATCTCTGGGTATTCATGTGATTTCAGATTTGGATTCAATCGTCTTCCCTTCAGCTCACACAACTGAGCTGTACTGGGTCTAAGAGCAGAGAGGCCTTGGGGCATCGAGAAAACAAAGCTCTGCCTTGTCGTGAGCTCTAGTTCCTGGCAGCACATTCTGGGATTGAAGGAAGAGCTGCAGCGCTCACATCATATGAAACATCCTTACTATGTTATGAGTCTTGGCGGAGATTGTCTTGACGCTGTCAGGATCCCAGATAACCAGATCGGCGTCCGAGCCCACCGCGATACGGCCCTTCCGCGGGTACAGGTTAAAGATTTTAGCTGCATTTGTGCTGGTCACAGCGACAAACTGGTTCTCATCCATCTTGCCAGTCACCTGGGGAAAGACAAAAGGAATCATTGCATTAGGCAGGTCGGGAAGCCCCCAAAAAGCCAACAGCTGACAGCACAGCAGATCCTCAGTGAGCTCTACAGGGGCAAAAACGTGAAGCGGAAGGATCATACAAGCATCTGGGGGGAGATAATAACACGTTGCTGCAGCTCCTTCAGCTCTGAGTGTCTGGGTGCAGCCTAAGCGTGTGACATACCACAGCCTTATCCCAGATGATGGACATCCTCTCTTCAGTGCCGTTGGTCCCTTCAGGGATCAGGGTGAAGTTGTCCTTCCCAACAGCTTTCTGAGCAGTGTTGAAGGTGCAGTGGGCGCTGCCAGTAACTTGGAGGTCTCCACTGGAAAAGACAATAGGTATTTAGGATATTTTATTGCCACAAGTCTACTCCTAAAGGCAAACAAGTCTCTCGCTTGCTGGCAAAAACAGCCACTCTTTTTATCACGCATTTGTCTCGTGACAAAGCACACGTCGTATGAACACAAAGAGCTCCACTCACCAGGACAGTAGCGAGTTGAGAAAATCAGGAGTGGTTGGGTCAGGACTCAGTGGTGGGGAAGTAACAAAAGCTGCTGCTTTAGCCCAATTCTTGCTCCAGTAATGAGAGCCGTCGGTACCCAGGCTGGCCGTGATGGGCTCTCCATACACCACAGTGCCTGCAGGGCAGGAACACAGACAAACCCGCGGTCAGCACACGCATCTGCAGCCTGGCTTCCAGGCAAAAAGCATCCTGCTGGGGGAAGTGAAGCCGGCAGGGCACACTGCAGGGTTTCCTTGTCCTGTGATCACGGAGACACGACGTGGGATCCGATTCACCGGTCTGAGTAAGCAGATAATGAGACATCACTACACTCCTGGCCTGCTCTGTTCCGTGGGGCATGTTTTCACAAGCAAACTCTTAATTTTATGTGCCTGTCTTGAGATCTCTAAAGGAACACTGAGCAAGTTTGGTGCATTTATCAGCTAAGAGAAAACTCCCATCAGGAAAGCTTCCTGCCTACAGAGAAAGACCATCTCAGAGGGAGTATCAGTGTTTCTGGTTCACAAACACAGCTCAGGGAAACTGAGTGATTCCCCCAAGGGTTCACGGTGAATCTGTGGCAGAACTGGGAAATGAAACTGGATCTTCTGACTCTCCGTCCAGCGCACTAACCACTGGTGCATCCTTCCTCTTCATTAACATTTTTGGAACCACATGAAGGAACGGCAGATCCTTAAGGCCACGATACTTTGCAAGCTGGAATGCGCCAGCAACATCTGCACTCCAAGCAGATGCAAGATGCTGCAACTTCAAAAGCGGTGCAAGCTGGCAGCCCCGCAGATCTGCTCACCAAATGCACCTTCCCCAAATCTCTGTTAAGTGCCTATCCCTCTGCTGCCCGAGCCCAGACGCTTCACGGATTTCTATCTGCCTGCAAAAGACGTGGGCAGCTCAAATATTAACCCTAAATACTTCAGTCACAGAAGACCGGCAAAGACAACCTCAGAACCAGTCAGCAGAGTCGTAGGCACCTCACATGCAGCATGAAAAAACATGACTTTCTTTCACTATATTGTCTGAGCTACTGCTACATCTATAGGCTCCCAAGCCAGCTGGGAAAGAGCGCATTAGCTGAAACAGAACGATACATTAAGCGGCTTCACGCGGCTTCCAGGACCACACTGAAACAGGAGGTGCAGGAAGAGCCTTTGTCAGAGGGGATGCACAGCAGAGGAAGAGGCCGTCTGACATCACTTGCCACAAACAGAGTTACGAAATCAGAACAAGGCAAAACACACGCTGGCTATTAACGGGAGGCCTGTTGTGGGCCAATACATTGGGAGGATTGTTCAGCAGCGAGCGATGTTTTGAGCTCCCAGGTCTGCCAGCGACAGACTCTGCGGGGAATCTCCTTCATACAAATGCCACTGGGAACATCTGGCTTTCAATAACATTCGTTCTTTTCCATTTAGCAAATCAATTCGCCTTGGATAGCGCTCAGTTATGTTTCCTCTGTTGCTTGGGAGGGCAAGGCTAGCGTGTGTGGCCCTCCTGGGTTACCCACTTGGGTAGCTGCATATTTAAATTGAATTATTTAAATAAAGGAAGAGAGAATGGCATGCCATATATACACCAAATTCTCCTTATAAGGAGAAAACACAATCTGAATTAAAAAAACTGTGTATATTAGTTCACTCCAGAGGCTAAGTAAAGGGAGTTCTTTGGATCATTCATCTGGGACAAGCCCAGCACCTTTCACAGGCAGGGTAACATCCACCACAGTCAGGTTGAGGTTTGCAGCCTCTGTGATACAAGTGTAAGGTGCCTCGTCCCAGTGTTCCTCTCCGCTTCCCAGCTGCTGGTCTCAGGGGACAGGGAGCAGAGCAAGAACGTGTTTCCGTTGATGCTCCATCTCTGTGGTGCGTATGTCTCCAGTACGTTATCTAGAAAAAAGAAGGGACGCTTCCCTGGCTTACAGGATTGAGTTGCACGCCATCAAGTTGTTTTCTGGGGTAACGCAAGACTTCAAATCTCATTTCAGCACGATCTCCACTAAGGGAGCTACGAGAGGAAGGTTTATCCCAAACAGCTCGAGCTGCTTCCATGCCATGAGCAGAAGATGCCTTGGAAACCAGTCCTCCTCCCCAGCTCTGAACTCATCTAACAGGAATCGTGGAACCAAAATACTTCTGAGCCAATACACAAACAGCAATCTGTTTGCTTCTGTAGGAAATTAGCTCCTCCTGCACCAAACAGCCAGATGGAAAGTGATGTCATCTGTATATCCATTCAGGCTTATTTAGACTGCATAAAATTAAATCCAACCCTTCTGAGGAAAGAAGGGGGAAAATCATCCCCCCTGCTTACTCACCCACCCAGAGCCGCTTTAAATAGAAATGAAGGGTTTAGTCACAGAATAAAGCAGGCAGACAGGCACTCACTGTGCTTTGTAACCCTTGCGCCTTGGGGCCAAGACAGCAGGGTCAGGGCTCGGGAGAAGCTACTGCACCACTCAGAGCAGCACAGCTCCCTCCCAGACCTCAGTTAGAGAGAAGAGACACGAAGCAGCAGCATCCACGGCAGGTCCAAGTCTTGCTTCTTGCAGCATCTTCAGGGGCGACTGCAATTCCCAGCCTGACCCAGACTATGGATCACAACCCCTGCTCGGAGGCCAGGCTGCCAGCAACAGCCCACGAGGGGGATCTATTTCACAAGCAAGGAGCACAGTGGAGAGCTGGAACTGGTAACCTCCTGGGCTACTCCAACTAAAGGCAACAAGGGTTGTGAGTTGAGACCTCTGTCAGGATTCTGGGAATCACTGCTGAGCCCAGGAAGCAGCTCAGCAGAAAGCACCAAGGAGAGACCAGAGCAGCTGGAAGGAGCAGCTTGCAATCTCCAGGAGAGTTCGTTAAATGGAGACAGCACGGAATCACTCTGCAATCATAGCAAGGCCCATGGCTCAGGGGGGTAGGATGAGTCCAAAGAGAGAGGCTCTAGGCTCAACAGAAGAAATAGTTCCTGGCATTGATATGACCACTGAACTTGTCTGAGAGATGAGGCAGAAGCAGTTACTCGGAACCTTTGGAAAAAGAGCCTGGACGATAACACTGGAAAAAGAAACCTTTCCTGTAGGGATGAAGCTCATGTTGGCAAGGAGCTGAACTGCATGAGCTAACGGGGCACTTCCATCCAAAGGAAATAACTTACCCTTTTTCCTGGCTTGAGCAATGACATCGGCGGCGCTTTTGCTCATCACCTTGGTGATATAAAGGGGGCAGTTGGTTTGGTTGGCGATGGTTATTGCCCGGTTCACAGCCTCTGCCTCCACCTGAGAAACAAAGACAGCAGCAAGTTAGCTCCCACATCAGCAGATCCCACTCATGTCCAGAGGGTCACAGCCTCTGCTTTCACAGGAAAACAGGGCATGCAGGTCCGAGACGACAGACGGGCCACCTCTCCAATTTTGAGCCAGAAAAACGTACAGTGTAATCAAGATAAGTAAAACGACATCAGGCTGTAGTCCCCTCTCATTACCACCTCTTCTCTCAGGCTGTTTCAAAGTTTCTCTGCAAGCAGATTAAGTCCTAAAATAACACTCCAGGTGCTCAAGGTCAGGCTGATTAAGGCCCTTCTTTAACCTAGACAAAAGTAAGCCACCAAATGTTGACTCAACAAAACTATTCATGTTCCAGCCCACGCGGAAGAGAGATGCTGGAGCCACATACTCTGGTAAGCCACGTTTGCAAACAAGCCTCCTAAATTGTACCCTCCGCTGCAGTATCTGGCTTGGGATCTGACGGAGCGTTAACCACCCCAGAAGTTAACTTCTTTTTCTTGCACGTGCCACGAGATAACCTCAGCAAGACCGAGGGTCTTGGAATGAATGTCATCACTCTGCCAGCTTTTACGGATCACACGTCCTAATCAAAGCAACCCAGATGACAGATTTAATGGCGATGCTCCTAGACACATTTCCATGCTGTGGAGAACCGAGCCTGCGATACCACAGGTATTTCCCAAGCAAACGACAGAGGGAACTGAGGCCCAGAGCAATCAGCCACCTGATTCCCAAATGCAAGAGGCTCCCAGCACCTCCCGTGCGCTCTGGCAGGACTGGCACACGCTCAGCACTTCTGCAAATCTGCTCTGCAGTGAATTATCGCAGGCCAAGGGCCTTAAATCATCATCAGTCCCAGAAGACATCGATTGCTGGCTCCAGACACCATACTTGGTCCACCAAAAGAAGTACCTGAGATCAGGGACCCATGGGCTGGGGAAGCTGTGGATTCACCGGACTGATGTCTGAGTGCCCAGGCCAGCTCTGCTCACACCAGCAGAGCCAAGACTTGGGACACAACTTGAAAAAAACAACACGACAGCAGCTGGGAGTTTTTAAAAAGAAAACCAGCCCCCCAGACTGGGTAAGTTGGTCTCCAGGGTCTAAGGGTTAAAGCCCCAGCCTGTCACCACAGCAGGGCTTGTGACTGACCCTCCCCAGGCAGGGTGAGCTACCAGACGGGATGTTTTCTGGCTCTGCTGCCCCGCACAAATGGAAAAGGCTGCAAGGAAGGGTGTTTATTCCAGGACTCGAGTACATCACGGCCAGCAGCACTCACGGGGAAGACGAAGGCTGAAAGGAAGAGCCAAGAAAAGCATCCTTGTCCCTCCTGAGAGACAAGAGAGAACTCGGATGGGCCAACGCTTCCAGGCAATGGAATCAGTTTGCAAATTGCCCTTTTCAAGCAGGTCTGTGGCATTTGGAAGCCATGTTTCCATGCTGTGCCTCAGTTTCCCCACCTGCAAAGCAGAGATCAAACAACGCACATCTCCCAAGTTTTGACCAAAAAGGCATTTAAGCAACTGCTGAGCAGGAGGAGAATATTTTCTGCACAGAAGAGAACAGGGTTGCTGAATTCATGCCTTGTGCCCAGATGCTATGGTGACAGGCACACAACAATAACCTCACGACTAGTCCAAAGGGGAATGTTTGCAATTACCAGGAGGCATCAGAAGCTCTAGCACAGCAGTTCTCTTGGAAAAAAAAAAAAACAACAGACATTTCCTGGAGCACTTGGACTGCTTGCGCCTTCAGCATTTTTGTGGCTGAAATAAAAACAAAAATGACGGATCGCTCTGAGAAGTCATCACAGAACGGTCTGAGCTATGAGGGGGAGAGTTTTCCAGAAAGTGATGGGTGATGCTGACTGGAGATGGTGGTGTCTTAATTCCGGCTCCCTTTGCTGGCTGGAACAATGTGCTGAATATTATCACCTTGGCTCAACCCAGGTTACGGTGCTGAGCAAGCTAAACCCATGAGTCAGCAGTGACACTCAAGCCTTAATTCCTGCCTTCTGCTCAACCTGGGAATTCAGAAGGCGTGCGCGCTGCAAGTAAGACACAAACACACATGGCCAGTCCCTAAATGTTTCACTCTGATGTAAGCCTCGGCGAATCGAGCGGCAGTTTTGATTTAATAAATATTTTAGACTTGTTCAACAACTCCTGCTAGTTTGTTGTAGATGGAAGTCTGAATTAAGCAACTCTTCAGTAAGATGATGACCACCACAAATCCCTTAGGACAGGCTTTACACTCTGTAAGGGGCAGAGTGAAAAGTCAATTCTAGTGTAAACCACACCCAGAGGGACACCAAGAAACATCCACTCCCGCTGAAGTCAACAGGAATTACGGATCTGCTGCCACCCTCGGAATCTGGCCTTTATCATCAGCCAGCCTAAAGGAAGCTGTATGTTTTTAAAAAACACAAAGTTACTCCCGCATTGGAGCAAAAGGGAGCCAGATGACATCGCTTCCTGCTCCGCTTCCTATGACTTTCAAGGAGGAGAATTTTGGACCAAGTGCTTCCAGCCCGGGCAGACAGCACAGCTGAGCTCAGCCGCCGAGCGGCTGCCCGGTCGCGCTGGGAAGAGGCTTTATCGACCCTCATCAGAGGCAGCCACGTGTCCTTAGGCAGCCTTCCTCACTGTCCTGAGAAAAACCACATTGCTGCACAGATGTTAACAAACCAGCCAAGAGGGGGAACCACACAGTTCACACCTTAAAGCTCCCGCTCCATTAAGGAGGAGCTTTGAAGTAGCCAGACAAGGACTTGGCTACTTTGATGGCCAGATCCTTTAAGGTAAAGGAGCAGCCTTCCTTTGAAGTCAAGAGGAGTTTAGCGTTGCTCCACAGATGAGCCCCAAGTGTCCTGTCGGCATCTGTTCCCATCCTCCTGATGCAAGGCAAAAAATATGTTTAAAAAAAATAAAAATGCAAGAGTGGGTGGGTGGAAAGCTCAGTGCAAGTGTTTGCTCACAACTTTCAGGGAGCAAAAAAATCCTGGCTCCCAGAGGCAAACCCAAATTCTGTGAGGATTTACATATTGCCCAAGTCGATCATTTTTTCCTCCTCTTCTGCAAGAAGCAACTGAATGATTTATATTCCTACTGAAATGCCTCTGGATGCTGCTTGTCTGAACCAAGAGGAGGAAATAGAGAAGGAGCATGAGGGGCACGTGTGGATGATCTCACAAACCCAGCTTCCAGCTGCCACATCTGGCAGTCAGCAAAGCCCCAAGATCTTGGAGGAACAAAAAGAACGGCCTGTACATAACAGATGGACTTCACAACCCCGGAATGCCATGGTGAGGTGTCTAGCTGAGAGATATCGAAGGACTGGAAACGAAGAATGAAATGGGAATCGACCTGGAAAGCAAAGTTTTAAAGTTCTTTCTTGCTCTTGAGATTTATTGTAAAGACTTGGATGAAGTGAGCAGTACTGGGGTGCTCGACCCTAGATAAATCAGTGGGGAGGTATGGAGTTTAACTGTATTAAAGTGCTGCCTAAGATCTGAGAATTAGCTCCCCTCTCTGGTCAGTACTTCGGATGCTTTCAGCAAATCACTTGGTCCTCTGGTGTAAAAAATTCACCAGGAATCCCTGAAAGTGTCTCAGCCTCCTCCCTTAGCCCGTATGACAACAACGTTTACAGCCAGGATGAAGTCGTGTTTCTGGCCACATTCATCCCAGTATGAAGTACTTGAGAGCAATGCAGAAACGTTCCAAACTGGGGGAGGACATGCAAAAGCAGGGAAGTCCTCACCTCTTCAGGTCTGCTCAGTACATGCCCTTCAGGGCCCGTGATGCCCAATTCCAGGATCCTTTGCTGCTCCTGAAGCAGAGAGAAAAAAGAGCAGGAAAAAGATTTTAAGCAACATGTTTATAGTTTTCCTTGCAGCTGTCTGAAAGAGGCACAAGTGAGATCCTAGGCATTTGTGCTAGCTCATAACCGCGCGGCGCTTTGCAGAAGGGCCTTACAACCAAAATCTCGTCCAACTGCCCTTGCTGAGAATAACCAGAGCTCACAAAGCCCGTGCTGATTTGTTCACAGGAGGTCAGGGGAACCTTTTATTTGATTTGCTTCACCCTGGGTTCACAGCCCCTCAACTTTCACTACTCATTTGCATCTACAAAATCATCTCTAAGATGTGGCAGAAAGGTGTATCATGAAAAAATCAACCTGTAACTGCGGGTGACTGGGCTCGAAGGCTGTGGAGGGCTCTTCCCCAGTCAGACAACACAGAAATCCTCTGCCACACCAGGTTTGGCACGTTTGAGACACAATCTACAAAACGAGCTGGAGATCAGATTAAATCCAAATGCGTTATTAACATTTCTTCTTTGTTGCTGTTTAAAGGATGAACAGATCCCAAGCAACAGCATCCCAAGTACTGTTTGAAGATATTTCTCTTTCCACTCCCCCTGGTCTTAGTTACCGCAGAATATTTTATTGTACAGAGTGCCAGCTCACCCAGAGCTGTCTTTTACTTCTGGGGAGAAAGGCAGAGATGGCTGATACTCACCACAAGCTGAAAGCTGCCAAAAAACCCCAACAACCCTGCTTTATCCGTGGCAACAGAGGGGCTAAGATTTGATGTACAGCTCTGCTTGCACGTTTGATAAAGCTATGCCGCGCTTCTAAAAGTCTTGCTGATTTTCTACTTGCAAAGAACAAATTAAGCATTTAAATCCCTCTCAGTGTTATGAAGTTAATAATCCACAGAATAAACATAACATACCTCAGCAATGATGTCACCATTCTCGGCATGCACTTGAGCTGTCGCGCCAATATCCCGAATTACACTCAGGACCTCATATATCTGGAAGACAGAAAACACACATTACAACATGCCCTGAGTCCACACTTGGGCACACATCTATTATAAAGTACACACTCCACACTCCTTCAGCCTACAGGGTTTTGCAGAGTGGAAAAGAAGAAGAGGAGCATTAGGAAATAGAAGACGTGGTTTGCTGGATAGACACAATCCTTTCTCCTGCCTGTAACTGAATTTCCCAGTCTGCACTGGTGCGGCAAAGAAGCACTACTCAAAAAAAGCCACGTTTGGTACATTCATCACACCAAAAGAGGAACAGCAAGTCCACAGGCTTGCATCTGGAGTGATTTTGAAGAGCTGTACCTGTTTCATGCCTTCATTTACTGGTGCCTGGCATGAAAAAAAATCACGACTTACATTTGATTTTCACCTGTACGCACTGCCCGGGCCAGGAGCAGTGATCTCCCACTCCAGCCAGCGGTCCGAGAGGGCTCAGGTTGAGTAAACCCCAAGTGACGCCGGCTCGGTCAATGGTCACTCATTAAAATGCTTCCCGGAGTCATTAGAGATAACCGACACACACCACTGCCTCCTACACAGGACTCCCAGGCATTCCTCTCCTCCCACCGCGCTCAGAAATACAAACTGCCCATCGCAACAACTGCACGTACCCGAACGCATCCGCCGGAACAGCACGCAGGAGGGCAATTCCTTTTTAAGGTCCCTCTTTTAAGGTTCTGAAGCCAGAAACCTGCTTCAGGATCAGACTGAGCTTGCCACCAGCTCTGCCTGAGACCTGGCTGTCCTGCCCCACACCTGGGCAATTTATAAACTTGCCACTACCTCCGCACCAAAGGAGCCGGAATAAAAACCTTAGGTCTCTCAAAATGAGAGTTTTGCTGTTGCTTCCCCCAGCCCAGCCTTTCGGGGTTTGAGTTGTTTTATTAAAAAACTCATCATCAAACCAGATGTTGTGAATCCGAGGTACTGTTACCCACGGAGAGGCTGAAACCAGAAGAGGGTGTCAGATCCCAGTGCACTAATTTAAACCCTTTTACATGACTAACGCCCGGCTTGCAGTGACAGGAGCATGTGAACATTAAGCCTTCCTACCTGAGAGTCAGTGAGCTGGAAGCGATCTTTGAAAGCCATGTAAACCAAGAAGGAGTTCACACCTGGTAGAAAAGAGAGCAAATGAATTATCTCTTGACACACAAACTGCAGGCACAGACAAAGGGACAAAAAATACCGCTCCTCAGAGGGAAAACGTCCCCCTCCATCAGCCCCGCAGCAAGCAGTAATGATGGGTAGACAAATAAATTGCTTTAATCCTCTGCGAAATGCGCACACGCGCACCCAGAGATGCTCTCAGCAGATCCCAGCGTAACGCCAGGATCTCCTCGGCCATGTGGCATTTATTAACGCGACCGATGAGAGCGGAGGAGCCAGCGGGGACAGCTAAACCCCGAGGCTTCCACTGCACATGGAAAGAAGAATAATTCTGTGGATTCAGCACTGTAGGAGGTTGAGTGAGAAAAGAAAAAAATAAAATAAGCAAAATGCATTGCACACAAAAGCAGCCTGGCTGCCCGATTCCCCACTGCAATGGGAAATCTGTGTCTGTAACCATGTCCTCCTCCACCATGTTTGTTTGATCAAGACACTGGCACCGCCCCTCAGGCAAGGTTTCCCCTCTCCTGCCTTCTGAACCAGTAAAAGCTCTCACCCAGCACGTGTGGGAAAAGGCTCGTTAGGATGCAAAGGGTTGGGGTTTTAAGACTACAAACAGGATGCAAAACTACTCAAGCCTGAGGACGAAATGGCAAGGAAATTAAAGAAGGGGAAAACCTATGAGGTCATTTTATTCATCTCTTCTCCGTTTTTAGCAACTGAGGCTGGACTGGTCCTTCGGGGCCTGATTCTCCCCGTGTTACCACAGCTCAATGGCTGAAGCTATCACCTGCCTGCACGAATGAAAATCCAGGGGCCTCCACTGAACAAAGCTGCTCCTCCCCACGGCAGCAGCAAGAGATTCAGCTCTGCAAACAACAACATCTGAACTTACCATGATCTTTAACCAGCGCTTCCATCTCCTCCTGGACACCTTTATGCCACTCGGTGATATCCACGTGCAGAGAGTAGTCGCAGCAGGACTTGCTGTCTGCCCATTCTCGCCACTGGTCGAAGGCAGTCAGCAAACTGGTCCCTGGCTCAGGAACCACGTGATCAACTGGGAAAGACAAACAAGTTTTTATTTGAACACATGGCGTCTCGAAAATCTTCGCTAGGCACAGTGAATTAAAAGAAGCAAGCCCGCAGCCCAGAAACTGCGCTGCTGCCGAGAGAGTAGGAAAAGCCTGTGGGACTTCAGGGGTCACAAACTGGGCAGGCACGGGTGGGGAGGAGAGAGCCCTGGCTTGATTTCACATCAAAAAATGAAACAAAATAGTTGCTTCAATTATCAGCAGAGAAATTCAAGTAGTTTATTTTTAACATTGCTGGTGAGTATCTGCGCTGCCATCAGCTCAGCACTTAGCTCTAAATCACACTGGGATAACAAAGTCCTCGGGCCCTACCCGCTCTCAGCAACGTACAAAGCTTTGCTTCTCCCCCACGCAGGCACGGCAGCCTGGATTTACTGGTTTTGCACTGCCTTAAGAGCTGGACTTAGACCGGGAGCTCTCGACCCACGCAGAAGCAGCGCAGCTCTCCTGACCGACCCACGAGCCTCAGCCACCCAGGTCGGTAACAGCATCTCCAAGGTCTGGGATGTGCAAACACTGTAGAAAGCCGAGAGGATTACCCAGAACAACCTCCCTCCTTCCCGCAGAGCTCAGCCCACTCGCTCTCCCTTTTGCGAAGGTGACTACGTGACGGGTCCCAAACCAGCAGCTAAAACACTTGCGCATTTTCCAAAAGGCTTGTGTTTGCCTCTCGAGTTTGCCACGAGTGAAAGCTCTGAAATTTGCCTGGCGACCAGCATGAGATCAAGGATGTGCTTTTCACCTCCCTCAGCCAAAGCAACCCAAATCTAACCAGACAATAAACTGTCCCTTTCTTTTCTTTCTTAAATAATCTAATTTCTGTTCCATGATCTCCTCCCCAGCGATCAGAAATCTTCCACTAACTTCCAGACCAAATTGTTTCTTGGCCAGTACATAGCCTCTTGTCCCTCTGCCAAAGTTAATCCTTAGCTTTAATATGAACAACAAGGAGAAAAATAACATTCCCTCTGTGCTACCAATGGGATACAGAGAAAACCCAGGTCTTCACAAATGGCCAGCACTGTTCTCCTCATGCCACTGACTAATTAAAAAGTCCATTGCGTCTCTAGGAATAAATCTATTATATACATCACAGGAATAAATCTATTTCTACTTAAGGGAGCTCTGTGAACCCCAAGTTTATGGACATTAGGAAATTCTGCCTGGAGGCACCAAGGGGTTAACAGAGAAGAATCTTCACAGCCCAGCACGGAGCCCCCAGGAATGGCTCTGGGGTCCAGGATCAGAACTTTATCACCATCTCATTTCATGCACTGGCCAAGTATGACTAATGGGAGTTTGTGGAAGGAGTGGGAGAGGGGCTAAGGGAGCTCTATCAGATCTTCCACAAAGTCAAACCACAGCTGGTTACAATAAGGATACGGGACGGAGGTAACGGTGCGTATGTGCACGGAAGGCAGCTCTGGGGATCAGGAATATCTCCTATGGAAGCTGCGCTGCCCACGCATCCCACAGCGGGTCCCTTGGGCTCACCAAGAGCCAGATCACCCACCAGGCCCCCACTTTCCGTAGATGCTGCACATCAGACGCGAGGAAGGCGGATGTAACCCTAAGGGCTAGTCTAGAGGTAGCTCAGACACAAACATCTCCTCAATTTTAGCATCCCTTGTTACAATGGAAGGGGCCAACTACAGTGCAAGATCACAAGCCTACCTGCTAGGGTTTGGGGAGCCCAAATAGGAATGAGCTTAGATCCTTTAAAGGAGGAGAATTAAGACTGATTCTTCACCTGCTGTTACAAGAACTGAGCATTGCAACTACTTCTGCTGTCGGTACGGACGGGCATCGCCCACATGCAGCTCAGAGAAGTTCCTCCTTCCAGGCCCCAGGCACAGCTCAAGAGCTCAGAGTAAAACAAAAGGCTTTTTCTTTAAGATGCCTGTGCCTCAGAGCAGTACAAAGCAGCTGATGAAAGCTCCGTCCGCCGCATTCCCACAGCCCGAGGTTCCCCAGATGACCCTGGGGTATGATCTGCCACAGCACCAAGGGTAAGAGGTCTCCTGACCCACCGGAGCACGCAACGATCCCAGCTGGAGATTACCCTGGAGGCTTCCCAGGCAAAAAGCAGCATGCTGGCCTGACCTCGCCGAACCACTTCTCTCTAGGGAAGCCGACAGTTTACTGCCTCATCCTTCATTCCTTCCTCTCGGAGAGCAGGAACGATCAACTCACGGCTGCAGGACGCACTCGAGACAAACTGTTGCAGCACAGGCTGTTGCCACCCCTTTATTCTCACTACACTGCAGCCTTGATCTCTTCATGCTTCCAAGCCCAGATGTTTTCTTCCTGTTGTTGATTATTGCTGCACAAATGATGTCAGCTGCTGAGGTCTGAAAAGGAAGTTGCCAGCTCAAATTTAAGCTCAAAGCTCGCTCCAAAAACAGAAAAAAAAATGAAAGGGGTTAAAAAAAAAAAAAAAAAGAAAGGAAAAGATCATTTAAGTATCACTTCATCAGTACTGAAACCTTCAAAGGAGGAATTAAATAGCCTGTGGTCCCTGCAGTGGCTCCCTGAATCAGGGCGAATTTCAGGCCTGATCTTGATGAACACTCTCAGCGAGTCACACAGCAAAGCCAGAGTTAGGATTACAGTGGTTTCTCAGCTATGGACAGAAGCCATTCTGTAGATTTATCTTTTAACCTTCTGAGATGCAGAATTCAAAATTGGACAGCCTAGGGCTTAGAAGCAAGCAAGCCCATTTCCATCAGTGAAGTAACTGTTTTGGAAAAAAAATAATAATAATTAGAAAGGATTTTGCATTTTACAAACCATCTAACTTCTCCCTTGCTAAAATACCAACAAGATTCCAAACTTACTGGATAGTTTGCTTATCTTTTCCCCAGACAAACTCCCTTCGGAAGACAGCGGGGGCTGAGCACCTGCGTGCCCAGATGCCACGACTGTTGCAGCCCTAATCACTAAGACTCTTAATTACCCCTCCGACGTGCCTGGTTTTCCTCTTCCATCACTATGTACAGCTTCACGCCGCCGTCACAAGGTGCATCTGCTCTGACCTCCAAGGATTTCAGCTCCCACCCGCCGTCCGCCGCTGTTTTCCTGCCAGTCTC